TGAACTGACTTTTATAGTCTCATTTCACCCACGACTTTAATTAGCAGCGAGTGCTGCTGGCTTCCTCTCATTACGGGGAAAGCGGCCGTTTTTACCACGAAGCTCTCGCTCAATTAATGACTGAATGCGAATGAGTCATTGATCGAAGTTCCCCATGTGTGTCGTACACAAGGCGGAGACATGACCAGTGCATGGTCTAATGCATTGCGTTCACACGCAGCAGAAGATTGAGGTATGGTTTTTGGTCACGTGCAGATTAGCTGGGAAGAATCTGTAGTTGCCTCCGACCTTGCCTCAACATTCCCACGGTGGAGAAACTTATTTCAATACACTCTGGCGAATCGCACATTACTCCTAGTTTCTCCGAGACTCGGTATACTTGACGGTTAACAGAACTGATTTAGAAAAGCCGTCTCTGGTGGCTTCTGAAAAACGTAGGTACGGCTGCTTTGTACGCAAATAAAATTGTAAAAAAGGCAAGGTTTATAAATAGTAGAAATAGCTAACAGACTGAATAAAACAGAAATCAGCTGCAAACCAACAACAAAGCTTTATCAGTGCCTTTTCAAATCAGTAATGGAATCAGTAACATAAAGGCATCAGTAATCAGTATTGGCAATAAGTATTTGAAAGGCGAAACACAATTTTCTGCGATAAAAAAACTCGTCGCAATCGCCAGCCTTATGGTCCCAAAACCGATTCCTCTTTCTTCTCCCGGTGATCGGATGGAGAAAAGCAACTCTAATGAACCGGGCAGGCCACACTTGTAGAACACGCAGACGCAGCCCAAAGCGCATCCTCTCGCAATTTATTGGTAGCTCGGGTAGCTCCACAGTGACAATGTGATGCCTGCAACTACAACTCTGCATCATTAATGTTGATGGGTAGAAGGGCGCCGTATATAACCAGGTTGCAGCGTGTCCACCAGGCCGTCGGTTCCGGCGCAGTCCGTGCTCTCCGTGCCAATGTAGGGCCCGTCGCCAAACAGAGCGCCTGTTTACCATCCGGCAGCGCGCCCGGGGCCGTTGTGTATCGCCGGCCAGAGGCGTTGTTTGACGCGGACCGGGGGCACGGCACGCGTCATTGATCCCCATTGGGCACGTGCTTGTGCGCGTGTCCAGCTGGGCATCGCCACCGGACCAGGCTATTTTCTGATAGAATCAGCAACGCGTCATGCGCTGGTACTTTGGGAATTTTCAGAATAGTGGGTACATTTGATGGCTTCTAACGTTCAGTGTACATTTAATTATGGTATGCTGGCTTTATCGTATGAGCTGCGTGACCACAAAAGAAATTACGCTAAACAATGGGGTGCAGTAGGATGCCCGACAATATATCATTTTCTCCCTATATTTATTTCCGTTTTTATACATTACATTTTTTCGCTTTTCACGGCCACTGTCGGAATGCGTTTTATTGAAATCGTACGTTACTCGTTCTTTTTCGAGTGCATGGTTGTAAATCTTTCCAACACACCTATTCATTCGTCTGAGTCCCACTAGCGACCTCAAAAGCCAAATGAAAACTAGAAAATGATCTTTGGTCTTTCGTGAATGATGGCGAGTGCACACTATAGAACGGTGAAGGGGATGTATATTTTTATGTGTCCAGCTTTCTACGACCCTCTATCTCATATTAATTGTGTCCAACTTTCTACGGCCCTCTATTTCATATTGATAATATCAAGCACCATTGCATCGGACTAAAGTTGAACCGAACACGAACAAGTCATATCCCTGCCCTCTCCAACGCTTTCATGCCGGCACATCACAGACCTTCTCTGGATGGCCAGTGGCGCGTGTGTACGGCTCATCACCTCCGTAACAGCCCTGTCATAAAAACGGACTCTCGCCTGCAGTCGCTCGGCCAGGCTCTACTTCCCGCTACTCTCGCGTAGTGTCCATCGCCGACGCCCGTCGCCTCGCTTCCCGCTCGGGTACAACATATACATGTCGTCCTGTTCCGTTCCGCGGCTCGTATTTCAACTCCCCTTTGCTGAGAGGATCCGGCCGGAGTCCAGTGGCGGTGAGAAGGGAGAGGGGAAGACGCTGTGTCGATGAGAAGGGAGGAAAACAGAGAAGTGCACGGCCAAATGATATTTGATCGAGAAGAGGCGTGGTAGATATGAGATTGAGGAGTTATGTGTTGAGCTGTGGTTAAGTGCGCTGGGTGATGCAATGTGCGTATTCGTTTCTTTGTGCAGCAGACCCCTTCGAAATGCAGCCAGAAGACATGTTCCGCGCTTTCCTCTTTCTGATTTTCTTTGCTCCATACATTTTCCTCTCCTCCTCTCTTCTCCTCTCCTCGTCACTCCTTCCTTTCCTCTCCTTTAATTTCCACCACTAAACTCTCCATCTCATTTCATTTCACCCTACCATCCTCTCCTTCCTTCTACCTCTTTTTACCGCTTTCTCCACACATTCTCGTCCCATCAACACACAATGGGCTTTGCTAAACTCCTGCAAAGTTGTTCCTCGATTGGCGTGATCCTCTGAAATTCCGCCGGGAAGCAGCTTCGACGCGACGTGGGCTGTAAAGTCAGCTGGCTCGGCCGCCGCTACGCCTCGGCCCGGATGGACAAGGCGACAGTCATTTCACGCAGCGCTGGCCGCCATCATCCCTCCTACCGCCCCGCTAGCATCACATCCCCACCGCCACCGGCACAGCCACCGCCGCCCGAACTCCGTCCGTTGTCTGCCACAACAAAAATAGTCGGCCTGAAAGGCAATCTAGCGCCGGGTGCTGCTGTTTGGCGTCAGCAGCGCGTTCGCCGAGGAGGCTTAACACGCGTCACGGGCGCCGCCGGCGCGTCAGTGACTTATTGCCGCTCAGTGCGTCGATAACCAACGTGCAGCACGTCTTGCGGCTTATGGAGCGTATCAGCATGGAGCCAGCCTGCTCGCCATATAGGGGAAAATCGCAGCCACGAAAGCTACGAAAAAAAAATCTGCTGGAGGGAAGTCAGTCAATTTCCTGCACAAATCTAAAAGACACATGTTCTTTTTAATTCGATGAAAGAAAAGATGGGTAAACAGGGTTTAAAATAGTCGAAAATTAGATCCATTTGAAACTTGTTTGTTACTTTTTTAACAGTTTTAATCGATGCGAAAACTTAAACTTCTTCCACGAGTGTTTGTCACTCAGTGCTTTTTGGAACTCCGATAAACGAACCCTTCCCGATCCCGGGTGGCCCCTGCAGCATATAGCGGCAGTGGATCACTGCCCATGTCGCCCCAGCCTTGGTATGCCATACAGCGTTCCTCCGCGACCCGGTCGTGACGGAGAGCCGACTGGGTCGTGACCGGCCGGGTCGGGGCCAGCTGATTCACGGCCGACCATTGGACGTGTCAGTGGTATCCCGTGATATCTGGGCACAGTGGAGATTCCGCTTATTCGTCAGCCTGTCAAACCCTCGACAAAGGATGGAACGAGAAGTTCACTGTCCTAGTCTCGACAAGAGAATCAGTGGTCAGCTGGCAATGCGAGGGCAGTGACGTATCCGGTCTGGGTTTCCCAGAACGATTGATTTTCGCTTCACTGTGGGTCCCAATCGAGAAATTATAATCTTAGTGCATAGTCTTGGAATAAGGCTTGTGACAGCTTCCGCTGAACCTTTATTTAGAGATCAGCACAATTTGAAGCACCGTTGTGAAGTCACTTTAGAATATGAACGAGTCCAATTTTATGACCCTGAGTCTGGTTGAGAATGCTTGCTTCGGGTTCCGCTCCGCGTGACTGATTACCTATTGACTCCAGCTCCATTATTTAAGAGTCTTTAATGTAAGCACTGACACAATTTTTGTGCCATCCGTGATTCCACCTTAGCAATCACCGTGCCCTTTTGTAACTGCCTGTTCTGCTAAATCACTGCACCGCCTATCGTGTTTTCCAGTACGACTGTCCATCAGACAATCTGGGGCGTATCGAATGCAGATGCCACACTTATGCTGAGCGCTTACGGCCTATTACCGTCGACAGCAACCATCGCAGATTTCCCAATCGTCCTGTATCCGCTCTACTCCTATGTAACATACCAGCCGTTACCGACCGCGGCCGGATCGACGCCCAGCCCGTCTGTGTCAGGCGTCCGTCTCGATCGTCGGGAGCCGCTGCCGACACCGCGAGTCCAGCCGTCGTTAGCGACAGCACGACGTCGTTAGCGACGCTGATCGCGGCGCGAACGATACCGTCGCCGTCGCTGATCGGCCGTAGCTTTGTTTGCCGGCTGGAGCCGCCCGGACATGGACTGGTGACGATGGAAACTCGGGAGAGCTGCCCAGGACCTGTCACTCAGCGACGAACTGGATGGGGGCAGTAAGTTCCGGATACAGCAGCTACGCCTGCTGTGGAAGTGTCTTAGAAAAATAAACACAAAAAATAAAGTGTTATGCTGGCGTATTGGACGCTGGTTGGTATCTTACAATGTGATGACGCAGCAAAGTCTATGTTTATCCATCAAAGTTCATCCATGCCTGAACCCAACTCGACAGCAGCCTCATCCTGCAACCTGTTTTCATGCTAAATTCCGAACAGGATGTTTATCTAATGGATGTGGTTCCTGTCTACTCGACTTTGATATTTCAAAGGACTTCATATCGCAACATCACAATATCAGTTCTTGTCCCAAAACAAGAGAACATCGCATTACCACGCCTCTTAGCCCCAGTGTCACCTCTCTCGCTCAGTCTCATTAGCACAATTCATTACCCAGCAACTGCCGCCCATTTCACCACACTGTCAAACCACCACACCGCTGCACCGTCCGCGCCCTGACCCCGCCCTCTGCCGGTCGACCGACCCGACCTCGAGCTGGCGGTCGGCGGCGGTCGGCGCAGGAGGCGTGCATGCATGTTGCGCCGGCGGCGGTCGCTCCCATTGATTGTCGACCCAGTCGGCGCCTCGGCGGCGAGCGGGCTGGCCGCGCGGTGGACGCTCGTCGTGCCCCGGGGCTATCGGGGTCGGGTGACGGCGGGGAACAGTGAGCGGGTGTGGTGATCGAGATGACGCCCGTGTGGGCTGCCTGCGTGGTGGTGGTTTGGGGTAGTGACGGGCCTCCGACAGGACGGTGCTGGTGCTGTGACCCCTGCGGACCTGTGACCGGCAGTACCGTGTCAGGACCCGTCAAAGGCAGCTCTGCCGTGGCAGAAGCGGTGACAGTGACGGGACCAAGTAACGTGACTCTAGGTGCCGCGGGTCACGAGGACCCCAAAGCTCAGAGAGCGGTGTCAGGGACCGACAGTGCTGGCGCTACTCAGGACAGTGAGGAGGACGGAGCGAGGGACCGGCGGGCACTGAGGAGGATGTCGCCCAGCGTCACCGTCCGACCCCTGATCCCGCCAGGTGAGTTCACCTTCACACACTGCACAGAAAATGCAACAGACGTGTGCAATTTAAATCTGATTACAGGCGTTTAACCGGCAGTTGCTGGGGTTTTTCGCCACCCACCGTTTGCTGGGGGGGGGGGGGGCGTTAAACGCCCCCAGCCGATAACTCGAGAACCAATAGGCGCAGCGAAACGCACGAGGCGGCAAACGAAAGAGCGCGACGAGACGATTCAGATGAGTACTTTAAAGTTGAATTTTGAGGTCACAGGTCGGGTCAAGGTCAGGTCAAACACCTGAAATCGGGCTTTCAGTAGCATGGACTTCAGGACTTCGCAATGGGTGCCTCTCGTCATAAACTCTGTCCAAACGGTGCACAATCCATCATATAAGGCCTACAAGAGTGTCAGCTCCATGTCGGGGTCAGTCAAGCATAGGTCAGGGTCAAGGTCAGGTCAACCGGGTAGGCACATATCCCCGAAAATCAAAACTGATATTCGCAGCCTGTGACACATGTTTACAGGTAATTTGGGGCGTAGAACACGATGGTGACATTCATTTTGTCATATGTGTACGTGTTTGGCTCAGAAAGTTCAATTTAAGAAATGCATGTATCATGGTCGTGAAGTAGTCACGAAAATTGCCAAGATTCAGTTCAAGATTATGGAAAATGCGGAACGATAATCAATAATCGAAGATAGCCATTTGATTGATCATGGTATTGGCAGTCTAATGGCGTTTACGGCATGTCTGTATGTCTATTCTGTGATTTTATATGATTTTTTGAACATATGCCGTTTTTGGTCGAAAACTCAGAAATCATGACGTCACTAAAACCTCGATATTTCAAACAATTTCCGACCGATTTTTTTGAAACTTTGTCACAATAAACTTCATTCAATTCCCTACAGGTACCCAAAATTTGGCGCGCCTGCGGCGCGCCGTTTTTGCTATGGCCCGGCGAAAAAAGTGGGGGCGTTTAACGCCCCCCCCCAGCAACTCGCGGGTTAACCCGCGCCGTGCTGGGGGGGGCGTTTTTACGCCCCCCCTCAGGTTTTTCGCGAATATCTCAAAAACGGCGGCGCGCAGCGCCGCCGTTTTTGGTACACGTGTTCCTACATCATTTCCGCACATGTTGTGAAAATTTCAGACCTAGGCCGTTCAAGGTCAGGTCACCAGGTCACGTCAAGTGACCTTACCTCAGAAAAAGTTCAAAGGCTCGCTATAGCTACACCGACTGAACGATCACTTTGAAACTTTCAGCGATTGATATGAGTAACAGTATGTATAAAATGTATATCTCGGATTTTTGATATCTGTGACCTAAGGTTAGGTCAATTTTGCGACCTCTCCATTATAAGTCAATGGGAGAAAATTGAAATGCGCCTCTTTTGGACGAATATCGTTCAAAACGCTCTCAAACATCGGTTCATAGGTAAACATGACACACTGAATAGGAAAAATGCACCTGTGACCCCTCTGTGTGCCCCTGAGGTCATCTCAGGTCATGAACGGTCGCCAGCAGTTTTTTGGCTATAACTTTTGATAGAGACGTGCTAGAGCGGTGAAAACACGTCAGATGTGTTCAGATCGACGATACGGATCGACTGATATGCAACATGACCCTTTTCGGTCAGGTCATGACCTTGACCTGAGGTCAAATTTTCAAAATGACCTTTCAAGGTCAACAAATAGTTCATTCGACGCGTCTCGACGAGAGGAACACGATGCTGGCAAAAGTAATGTCATGGCGCTTATGAGTCAAAAGTTATTGACGAAAAAACGTTTTTCGTAAAAACGGCTATTTTTGGAGTTTTTGCCCTCTAGAGGCTAAACCGTTGACCTGAGGTCAAATCTGAGAACATTACTCAGAAAGGTCTGTAAAAGGGCTATCGAATGCGCTTTTCCGCGGCGCTGTAGCTCTATCGGTTCCCGAGATAGCCGTTGGCAGTTTCCAAAATGTTGAAATAGTCAACATTTTACCTTTGGTGACCTCTGGTGACCTGACCTTTGACCTGACCCAAAAAATGACCGAAGTGTTTTCGTCCTTATTTTTGACGCTCTTTCGATTGCCGCTTACCGCGTGTCGCTACGTGGCCCAGGAGCCGAGTTAGACGGGGGGGCGTGAAAACGCCCCCCCCCAGCACTCGGCGGAAAGTTCAGGCCACCAGCACGGCGCGGGTTAACTAAAGCGCTGGCATAACTGAATGTGTTGATCAATCTAGCAGCAGAATGATATTGCGAAGCTGCTGCTGCTAGATGAACCTTGTCCGTTTCCAGAGATGCTGCCACTGACGTAAAATGAAAGCCAGCCCACACTAAGCCAATACTTAATTCTAGCTCCTCCAGCCCAAATTTAATTCAAATGTTGATAAAATATGCAAAACAACATTTAATTTTAACTGCCATCCCATGGTAAGGACCAAAACCACGACTTGTCTTTATTTTGTAATTTTTTAGCTCAATATGGGCTGAAAATGTTCAAAATGAGGCTGGACTTCATGGCGGTTCAACTTCTCATGCCAGTAGCAGCATATTCGGGAAACGACGAATGCCTTCCACCAGAACAGATTCGCGAATATCAATCTGCTGCTAGATTGGCCAACGTGAACTGAATACCGTTTCGGGCTTGTCACGAAGTCGACTGACGAAAGCCGTGCGGCCTAACCGGATCTTATGCTACCGTGTATGCTTTTGAAGCTGGAAGCACGAGCCATAACGAATGTGCATCGCCGGGCAATGACATACCAAAGCACCAGGCGACGGAACACCTTCAATTAAGGGGGGAGGGGGCACCGCCGACTTTTGGTCCCATTCTTTCCATGCAACGCCCATAGGGCTAATATTAAAATGCCAAAATCACAGGGGGACACGGTGCCCCGGTGCCCCCGTTCCGCCGCCTATGCCAGGATATGAGGAAGATGAGCCGTTTTCAAATCAGGTTATCTGGCAAAGGCACCGAAATTGACTGAATATAACCAAATCTTATTAAAAAAAAAATAACTTGTCTAAAAATTTTGATTGCAAATAAATCTGATGCTTTGATAAATCAGGTATAAAGCAACTAATGTAACCTAAAATGAAGATTAGGTTAGAACTAAACTATAAACCTTATTTGACAACATCGCGCCAAATGTGAATTGCAACCAAATATGTGCAGAATAAATGACGTGAAACGCAAAAATAAACGTCGTGAAATGCCGAACATAAACGTCGTGAAATCTAGCAATCCATGCGGTTGGAGTGGGGATGGAATCAAGCGACATTCTGTTGCTGATTTTAGTATGTGGTTAAGGGTCAGAAAAATAAGTTTTTTTTAGCCTGATCAATATTGTTCGACATTTTCCCCCATAGATAACTACTTTTTAAACCAAATGTCAAGAAACAACTTGTCGTTTTTTAGTCACCATTCCTTATTTATACAGTAAATTGAACTTCACTGAATATAACAAATAAAAGTGGGAAACAATTTATTTTAGCGCAAATTTACCGATGAGTGTCTTATCACAGATAATCTTTTATTCATCATTCGACATGTACCGATTCAGTGGTGTTTTGTATTTCACTGTGCATTGCATTGTTGCTATCTTAAAGCATCTTTTGTCTTTGGAAGGCTAATATGCAGCTTTAAATCACAATAATTCACAAACGACTAAATATTTAGGTGCGGTGGTTCGTGGCTGCCATGCAAAACAGGCTCAGTGGCAAAATATTCATAAATGAATATGGAAATATCCGCAGACGCTGATAACAGCGTCTGAGCAGCTGTTGACAAGCACTCATCTAGCAAAAGCTGATGGTGCAAAGTTTTTCGGGGTGAAGTTGTCCTCTGGCAGCGGGGCTGACCGGGCGGTGATGCCACTTGGTGGTGACTCAGGCCTGACAGCTCGATTCCGGACAGTCTCATCCAATTACCACAGTGGAAATTGCATCCACTTATTCCATCCGACACTGGCCTGACGGTTCTCGATATGATCGGTCATCCGTGACACCCACGCCGCACTGGACCAGACTTTATTGAATGTTTCCTCTCGTGTGAGCAAAATCCATATCCCGGGCCGACGAGAGCTGGTTTCAAAATGGATTGATCTGGTTATAAGCCTTATTTATAAAAGTACCCACATGGTAACAGTCGTTGGCAAAGGCCTGTTAGTATCCACGAATTATTTTGCACCGTCCTTTACGCCTGTGCCAGTGCTCGTTGCCTACTACCGTGCAACGTGATCTCCAACAAACCTCGGAGCGTAGCTCGGCGTTCCGACCGACTCTGAGCGCTTTATGTAAGCACAGCCCACGACACCGGGCAGCGCCCGTCGGCACATGACCTTTGATTGCCGCCGGGCGGCTCGACAGGGCCTAAGCTCAGTGGAGAACACGGCACCCGGCTGGAGCGCGGCCGTCACGTGACCTTTGATTGCAGCCGGTCGTCTGCTGGAGCCCGGTCGCGGGGTCCGCCAACAACCGCCATTTCGACGAACGGGGCGACGTGTCCTCCATTTTTAATTACTGGACATTGTTGGTAGAAATTGAGGAGGTGGATTGTGGTCCGCATACGCGGATATAGACAGTTTCCCTTAGATATACACTAAGATGATACCTAAGGCTTATGAAGTAGATTTGCACTTTCGGCTTATGTTACCTATTGACCGCAAGTGTCAGGAGAGGTCACTGTTTTCCGGTGACTTCTCCGCATGCGTATGCTTTCCTATGCTCACAAGCGTAAGAATGCAGATTTAGACAGAATGTGTATACTTTTCATAATTATATTAATATGAATAGGCATGCAATCAGAACCGCACACATGAATAAATGCTTCTGTATTTACAGCAAATAAAGATCCACACATAAAAACTGAAACATCCACATTGCTGGAGGACTGGTCTCAAGCATATGACTTTCTTAAAGCCTTTATTTAGAAAAAACAAGGAAAAGCCTCTACGCTGGCATTGTATCCTGCTTTTAGTCTTTCATTGTGAATATTCATGCACTTTCAATGCAAACACGTTATTGAAGATTATT